TATGTTATGATAAAACACAATTTTGACAAAAAGTTTAAAAATTATTATAAATAAAATAGTTAAAATGAGAAAAGAACCAAAATTTTGTATATTTCCATTTCTAAATTTTAGTTCTTCGCTGACGATTGTATTTGTCATCAAAAAGTTAAGAAAATTAAATTCACTAAACTGAATAATCTCATTATTCAGTTCAATGAATTCAATTTTCTTAACTTGTTGAAGATACACACAAAAAAATAAAAGTTATTGTAAAAGTATAGCTTTAAAACTAAACATGGCAGAAAGATTGGCCAATGAACTCTTCAAAAGCAACAGCAAAGAATTGTATCATGCTATTCATTGCGTGGATGAAATCATTAATAAAAATAGACAAGAAGATAGATCTTCGGACAAAAGGATGGAAAACTCGTTATCCGAATGTCCCTTTTCCGAGATCGCTCAACCGAAAATGAAGAACATATCGTTCCTTTACCTGGAAATGATGAAAACCAACTTCAAATTACAAAGAAAACTATTCTTTAAGGAATTATAAACAATTTATAAAATAATTAGTTAAATCATAAAAAGAATATCTTTAAACCAAGTGATTAAAATGTAAAGTTTTATAAATCGACTGAATAAATATATTTTTCGTCATTATCATTGCTATACTTTAGATATGTTTAATTTATTCGAAATTAGAATATTTAATAAGAATATAAAACGCAAATATTAATGGAGAAAACCAAAATTGGATCGCCAGTAGCCGAGTGGATAATGTCACTAAACTGTATTACATCGTTGCGAAAGGTTGCGCCTGACTTTAAATGCGATGTTTTATACTAAATTGTTATATAAATATCATGATTTTTACATTTTAGTTGACAAACACATTAAAAAATTTTAAAGATCTAAAATTAAAAATAAAAGCTATTTCAGTTTTGTGATTTTATATTTGCACATTTGATACTATACACAGAAACCCACGTACTGTACAGTACTGTACATTCAATTTTATTTTTATAACTACTCGTATATACCAGTGGCGTGCGGTGACATTTAATGTTAGGGAAGCTGTGTTTTTATGAAAATTATAAACAAATATTGGAAATGACAAAAGTAAACAATTTATTTATTTTAATTCTAAAATAGATACATTGATATGAAAGAAAGATATAAGAACATCTTTATGAAAATAATCGCAAAATACGTATTTATATTTTAGAAAATACAAGGGAAGCGGAGCTTCCACAGCTTCCATGGACTGCACAGTACAGTACATAAAACTAAAGAAAGAAAACTGTATCAATCATGCCATATTCAAAGTATTTTTTTATTTTTTGATTTAGATAAAAGTGCTAATTTTACGAATAACTAAAAATGGTAAAAATATGGTAAATTTTATGTCAAGTTTTAAGTATTCACCAATATTTTTTACATAATCGTATTCCTAATTGTAATTCAATATGTATGTTAACATATTTTAACATTAAACTTAATTTAACATAATTTTATGCGGCGGCCCTCAAAAAATTCCTAGGGGGCAAAGCTTGGAGACAAATAATTATATCAATAAGTTTTTATTTAATTTTTTGGGATGCTTTTTCACAAGTAGAATATAAAAAGGCAGATAAAGTGTTCCATGGTCGAGAGTGTAAAGTTATATATTTCAATAGTTTTTACGATTATAATTTGTAAATTTTTTACTCGATCCCAGGAGACAAATGTTCCGTTTGCCCCTTCTGAGAACGCTCATGCATTTTAAAAATATGCGCTAAAGATAATTGTCTTGTTTCTATTGAGAAACGACACGAGCGTAATTATTAAGAAGGCGTAATTATTAAGAAGGATAGATAGCATAGACTCCGATTGGGATAAGTTTTGACCGCACGAGTTAACTGTGTTTCTGTTTATTCTGGTTGTATATAACAATTCTCGGACTGGTCACGTGGAGTTTTTGGGCTTTATTCACATGTATACCTATTTCTAACTATAGTGTTTAACAATACCTATAGGCCAGTTGTCCATAGAAAGTCCCCTTTCTCAATTGGCAATTGGCAGATAAGATAAAGCAACACATAGACAAATCCCTCGATGTTTCGTTGCCTTATCACATTATTTCAATCCGAACAAAATTATTCCAAATTAGGTTATAAATTTGGATAGATTAAACGATTTTTTCACTTTATATTTTATATTTATATTTATATTTATTAACTAATTTAAATTTTTGCATCAAATTGGCACTAAATTAACTCCGATATTCTGACTGAACTAGTTGTACCCAGCAAAATATTTGTTGTAAAAAATTGTTGTTAAGTTACAAATAAATAGAAAAATAAAGAAGCAAATAAATTGATTTACATAAAATTTATTAATATAAGATAGCATTTCTCGGTATACAAGATTAGTATTTTAACAAATAGAGAAAAGATATCGCCTTAGCATATTCTGCGTAGACACATAGATGCATCCTATTTCTGGTTAGTTCTAATAAAAACTAATATTAACAATCAACAATCACGTGCCGGTATGTTCCTCGTCACATAATCTTTATCTTTTTGTAAACGTTCGAATAACCATGCAATACGTTCATAACTAATTTTCGGGCAGAAATGGATACGTAATTCCACGGCATTTAATTGAACATAGTTTTTTGTTTCTTTTTCCTCTAATCGTAAGGGTTCTTCTTCTTAGGGCCATTTTATTCAAAAGAAATGCCGTTAGAATTCTTGATCAAAATTTAATTTACAATAGTCTTTCTGTTGTTAACAAAATTAAAAAATAATTGGGAATGAATAAAAGAATGTCAACTCGACGAGTTATTCTCAGAAGAGATTTTAGTGGATGGGTTTCTTTTAATTCTCGAAAATAACTTAAAATAAAAATGTTAATGCAAAATGAAAAAAACAAACATGAAAATTTTAAAATTAATATTAAAATGAGCAAACCAGAAAGTTGAGCGACAAGAATTAATAAATCTTTTGAATAAGAAATTCTTTTATTATCACTCAAATATATTGAACCTCTCTCATTGCAAGTGACGCAATGAGTTGAGTTGCTACAGGCCTGCAAAACTAGTAAAAGCTTGCTAAATTGCAAGATATGAAAAGAATTTATATGAATTAATAAGTCTACAATAGTTTATTTTTATGATCATTTACATGTTATTAGTTACATAACTTGCACATAAACACAGTCTTATTAGAAAATTATATAGGCCATTACAAAAAATAATTTCGTTAACTTTTTTGTTAATGTAAAACCGTGATGTGACAACCAGCGTGATATTAAATATCAAACCTTTAGATGTTTGGATCTTTAAACAAAAAAGCAAAATTGAGACGTTCCGTATACGGTAATTCCATACGGCTCGACATCTTTTGGGGAAAATGCCCATCAGTAATCGCGTAGTAAAACCGCCGAACACTGGTAGTAGGTTGCGAGTTCGCACCTCGACAACAGCCATGTGGGATCTTCCAGGTTATCTTCACGCATCTAACACCTAAATAGAGGGAAGATTTTTGTAAAAAGTCATCCCGGGAGACAGCTTCACTTGACAGATTGCCCATAACCCGTCAATCCATCTTAAAGATTTTTTTCTCATTAAGAAAAATAAATAAAAAAATTGAAATAATAAAAGAATTAATTTACATTTAATGTTTAGACAAATATTTTATCACTTTCATTTTATTTAAATTTATTAATTTTCTTTCCATTACTAGAAAGTAGATTCGTTTAATTTATAATGAATTTGTCGGCTTTCACAAAGAGATAACTTAAACTATTTGTTTTATTTCACATTAAAAGTTTTCTAATCTTTTAAATATTATATAAGATTTATTATTACTTTTACAAATATTTACTTTATCATTTGTGTATACATTGATGAAGATTTTTCCTATGACTCTATTGCTTATGCAGTAGATATATATTTTACACAGTTATCTAAATACATGAATAATATAAGTAGATGTAGAATTACTGCTGAATAAAATAAAGTTAACCAAATATTTTTATTCAGAATACGAAATTTCGGTTAGGTTTATAAATCTAAAAAATTTAAAATACAGAATTACATTTTTTAAATATTTATATGAACGAGATGATGATGTTTATTACTTTTGAAAAGTTTTAAAATAAACTTTAATAAAAATATTTTCGTATAAAATTATTGACAAAACTTTAAGTATAATTTTTTTCATAATTTTAACTGTAATATTTTAACTTTTTATTCAAAGTTTTGTTAAAAAAGTACAGTTTTATTAGGCGTTTATACATTAGAAGAAGCATTAAAAATTATTTATACCTTAGGTATGAGAACTGGATTAAGGCGTCAGCCTATCGTTCTGGGGAACCGGGATTGAATCCGGTCGATTTTTCGTGGGCGGTTTGTTCTGGATATGTCGTATTCCTTTTCTCCGAATCTACGATTGATTTGACCAGTGTGTTAGTGATTTTCACCTTGTCCACTGGTTTTTTCCATTTTTCCATTACCCACCATGAGTATGGGAAAATGTCACCTTAGTTTCTAGAGAAATAAAGAGCCAAAAATTGAAAAAAGTACGAGAACTGGCATTTATGAGAAAATTTATCATAATTTTTTAAATAAATAAATAAGAATTTTTTTTTTAAATTAAAGCGTAAAAGTTTTATTCATAATTACATTAAATTTCAATTATTTTATTTATTATATTCCTGTATAAAATATTTCATAAATTAAAGATAAATTGATTCTAATTATTATTAAATTTTATTAATATTAGCTCGTGTTTAAGATTTCTAGCCACACATTTATTCATATTTCTTACGAATTTATTACTAAAAAATAGTGTTTAATAAATTTATCATTTGAGTATAATGAAATAAAGTAACGAAATGGTTCCAAAATATTTTTAATGTTTAGAAATTACGATATTACAATTTAAAATTTGGTTTAACATAAGTGAGGGGAGGTAATTATTGTTTGTTTATTCGATTCAAAAACACTAAGGAATAGAAATACAAAAGAACTCTATGCGAGTCAGATTTATTATAATTATGTTTTTTATTTCTTACAATTCAGACATTTTCTAATGTTTTTTTTTTCCTCTTCAAAATTTAACGGCCCAAACGAGGTGTGAAGGCTGTCCTTCCGATTCGGGGTGTAAACGCTGCTCGAGCTCTTTTATCTTCATCCCTATCGAAGATTCTTTTTCCTAGGCGAGGAATAAAAGCGGCCCTTAATTGTATTCCTCCAACATCTTGATCACCCCTTCCAACTCTGGGTGCAGGCATCATTCGTTCTAACAAAGAAGTTTCGGTAGACCTCTTCTTTCTTCCTATTCGTGGAGTAAAGGCTTGAGCCCTCTTATACGAAAGTTGGCGATCGTACGAATCTAACATATTATCCAACAAATAAGAAGCTAAAGAATGACTTTCTGAAGGAACCATGAAAATGGCCGGACTTTCGGGATCATCATTAAATATCAGAAATTTGTTTTGCCCGTCACTTTGTTTGTCTTCGTCGAAAGCAAAGCAACCTTTAAATATAAAGTTTAAAATTTTTAAACATTTAGTAAAATATTTTCCTATTATATTAATACTAATTAGACCCAATAAAAGTTCTGCTAACGAGAAAAAAATAAAATTTATTTTAACTTTTTAAGTATAAGCGAAATTTTTGCGTTATTCGGAAGTAATTTAAGAAATTTACGAGGGATTGCCCTTATAAATTTCTCCATTCTTCTATAAGAAAGTCTAAGACTTACCGTAGCAATATCCAAGGAGTAATAGCCAACAATAAAGCGTGGTCATGGCTCTCGGAATGGTAGCAAAGCAGAGAGTGAGCTAAGACACTTCGAATGGCCAAACATATATCTTATAGAGAATGCGTACAAGAAGATGCGTGGTTGGGTTAGTCGGATCGAAAACGAGATTCGTTTCTTCAAGGGTGGTCCTGATAAATTGGTGTTGCAGTCGGAGATTGCTAGCACAACCCCTCACAAGTGGATCATGTACGATTGACTTAGACATTCCTAAATAGGATTAACTTGGATTGAGAGATCTGTAAGGCATTATTAAACCTGCGCCACGCTTGGCAGAATAGAAAAAAAGTAAATAAAGAAGACAATATTACTTTGTGCTATTAGGAAAAAAGGGGGGATTTATTTTTAATTAGATGATTTGATGAAAAGTTAAATGTTACCTTTCGTAACTCGTACATATGTTTTTAAAACGATGCCAAAAATTGCTTCGATCTCTCGATTAAATTAAAAAAGTTAGCACGTAATTTATATGAGCTTGCAGAATTTTGAGCATTAGATAAACACAACATTTAGACCTAAAAATTGAAAACTTGTCACCTTTAATTTTCATTAAAACAATTTATTTAAATAAAATCAAATGCGAAAGATTTAGTTTCTCGGTAGCATTGTCTATAATCTTGAATTTTATAAAATAGGATCTTGGAAGAAGGCTAATATCGGGTGACTTAATCCAATTGAAAGTGCGAACAATTGACAACTTATACAATCCTTTTAATGTCCCGCTAGCATTTGTAAGTGAAGATGACGAAAGCCACCTTGACAGATCTCATTACGCATCAATTATAAGTAGTAGTTTTCTCATTTTCATGGATACGCCGCTAGACGTTTACTTCTTATTTAATCGATTTTTTTTTTATTTACTTCGTATTTTTCTTAATTTATCGAATAAACGATAAAAGATTCTTAAATATTAAAGCTATAATCGAATGATTTGAAACGTGCAAATAAGCCATTAAACCGATTTTTATCCCTAAAAAAGTTATTTATCTGGAATTTTTGACATAGTTTAGATCTAGAGGATTCGACTTGAAAGAAATACACAAATTGATATCTATTGTGCGTGTCGGATTATTTAAATGATAAATTCGCTTTGATTTAATGTGTGAAAGGAAAAACGAGGATTTAGAAAATAAAAAATAGATTTTCGGCTTTTATCCACTTTTTATTTTATAAAATATGACGTCTGCCTAACGAAAAACGATGGAAAAAATTGCTAATGTAAACCCACAATACGTAAAAATAAGTTTCAAACGGATTTAAAAACCTTTATTCAATTCCGTTACACTTAAAAGTTCAAATTTATAACGACATTTAGCATTGGTTTCACTGATTTTCTCGAAAATTTTGAAAATAATAATACATATGATAATTGTTGAATTAAACAGTATATAAACTCCCAAAAATAATTTTTTTCAGATTCGTTAAAAGCAATAATTTTATTTTCTATTTTGAGATCATACACGCAGGGTTTTAGGGGTTTAATTTCTTTCATTTGGCAATCCAAGCAGAAATACTAATAAAGCAGTATATATATAACAGGCCATATTTTTGTTTTTCATATCCGTTCTGTTTAATAAACTATTAACAAATTACATCAAGAACCATAAATTACATGTACAGTTTTTGAACCACTTTTAATCTCCTCTCTCCCTGTTATGTACTGTACAAAGATGCACTTTTGGGAAATTCCTTTCCCTTTAATTACGTTTAGAGTACTTCATACACTCTGACATTGAAGATTCACATTATTAGTAAGTAGATACTGTATATAAGAACAAATTCGTATTCATTAATACTAGTAAAAAATTCCAGCAACGAGTTGAATAACTTTTCAAGCAAAGGAATATTAATTGTGCGTGGTGCCATTTATTATGATACTTTGCTAAAAACTTTTTATATTATTAATTATTATAAAACGGCAAAATACTTAATTTTGAGTGTACAAATAAGTTTTATAAAAAATTATAAATGCTAATAAAGAGTAAAATCTTTATTATATCTCACCCTAATTGAGATATGACACACGATTCCCCCTATCGCCTGATCTTTAATCACCAAAATCTATTAGCATCACTCCTCTAATACAAACCTCCTCACAAAATTTCAAAAATTTTCGACAAAATCACAGGCGTTATTAAGCTGCAAGATGGGTGAACGAAATTGTGCCTTCACACACACATTAGCATTCATACATAGAGGGGAAAAACCCAATTTTTTTGAATTTCTCTACGTTTGAAGGTCTCCTAAGTCCAAAAATGTAAAAATCTTGGAGAGTCATTTTTTGATCGATCACCAGACTTTTCCTCTGTTATATGTATATAATTAAATAGTGTATGTAGAAAATTCCTAGATTCTCTCGCACCCCATCGTAGACACTGATGTACTTTTCGCGATTCCTTTACTCCTTAAGCTATACACATAATAAATGCACGGCTCATTATGAAGAAATGTGTTTTGTTTAAAACCTCAAACCTTTCTGAAAATCGTGCATGCAGACCTGTTTTATTTTAATATTTGATATGACTACAATTATGAATTATGTATTAATCGATATTGATTATACTTAAGTTAATAATTGTTTTATTACAATGAATCAGACAATGTTTATAAATTAATTTCTGTTCTTAATTGTTATACTTAACATACATCTAATTTAAATTTAATCAAATAATTTATTTCTAGTTAAATTAAATGACAATCATCATGAAATATTCATGTTTAATTTGATATTTTTTTGTTGTTGATTTAATAAATAACGCATAAACTTAAATAAAAGTTTGTTCCGATGAATATAAATCATGCAATTACAATCAATATTTAGATAGGTCTAATTTAATATTAATTTTTCAATTATTTAACCTTTTTTTTTAATTTTAAATAAATTATTCTTATTTATATGTTGACGTAATGTATATTAAGACTTTCTTTAATAAGCATTCAAAGTATTGATAATTAGAGTAAATTCATAGAGATGATCATTAAGTGAATTTAACTCATATTTTAATATTAAGATAATTATATAAAGGGAGAAAGTTTATATTTATTAATAATTCCATAAATAACTTTCGTTTCTCGCCAACTTACAAATGAGATCATTTGGTGGTCGAGGGGCTTAACAATCAGCAGTTGGCCAGGCTGCATGGGTTAAGGCTAATCCTAGGGATATATTAATAATCCAAGAAACTCTAGTGAAGTGGTTTTGTACTTCTATTTTCTTTTCCAAGCACATAGTACACAGAACAACATGTTTATGACCTCTTCTACTAAATCGATTGTCGTTTATTCAAAAAATTCTGTTTATTATGATATTATTGATTATCACATTAACACCTAACAAGTATTTCATTTTATTTCCATTTTAGATGAATTTACAACACAAAATTTTTATATACATTTTATTAAACTTTGGTTATTTAACTTAGAATCGGTTATGTTTATCACGAAATGTCAAGGGGATGAAATCAGAAGTTGGGTGTCTAGAATCAGATAGTCTATATTTTTCATATGATCCTAGACAGTAACTCCTAGTCTATATTTGTGACAGTGACCGATCTGAACCAAATTTTTCACTTGGTTTAAGTCGGTCAAAAGATTTAGAAGTAAATAGAAGAATGAAATCAGGGGTGTCGAGGTTTTATGGTAGCCTATTTTCTCCGCAGGTCCTTCAGAGTATAAAAAATTTGGTGCAGATGGGCAATGCAGTTAGAAGTGTATACAAAACAGACAAACACATTCTATTTTGTATGCACAGATTTCTTAAGATATTGTTAAAATTCAGAATATAGACCTGCAAAAGATTTATCACTAATTTTACAAAGTAAGTAGTTTTATATATTTATATTATTAATTATTATAAAACGGCAAAATACTTAATTTTGAGTGTACAAATAAGTTTTATAAAAAATTATAAATGCTAATAAAGAGTAAAATCNATATTATTAATTATCTAAAATTTAAAATATAAATATATTTAAATTATTGTAATATAAATAAGATATTGTTAATTTCTAATTTTAATTAATCAGAGATTGCAGTTCTTACCATATTCAATTTGAACGATCGATTTTCAAATAATTACACTTCCATTGGAAGCGCACTATTGGAGGAGCGGATACAGCCTCTGAATACTGGTCGCGGGTTCACGCCTGACCAACACGTTGGTCAGGCCACGTGTTTTCTGAATTTCTTTCATGTGTCCACACTTAAATAGGGGAAAGTTTCTCATACAAAATTCTCTCGGGATTCACCCCCTTGACAGATCGCCCAAGTATTGCGTTGCCTTAAATCCAATCCAATCACAATATTGTAACTTTAATAAAAAAACGGCAGTTTTAATTTTTCCACAATTAATAAATCAGTACTTTTTATAGGTTAAATTTTCCCTAAGACGATTTAAAAGCGAATTTTTTTATAATATACTACGAAATTTCACTGTACGGAACGTAATTAAAAGGAATGCTTTTAACGATTCGTGTGTATTTTCTTTTTCTAATATTAAAAAAAAAAATGTTTCAAATGTTAATGTTAGTTCAGATTTTTATTTAAAACTAAAAAAGTATATGAAAATTTGATAAAGTTTTTTTGTTAATGACTTACAATCAAAAAGCATTTTTAAAAATATACTGTTGAAATTTTTTATAAGTAGGCCTATAAATGTGCGTCATTTTTCATTTCAAAAAAGCGCAAATTGAAAGTGACATTTGACTAAAATAATTAAAAATCTCTTGATTTTCAAAGATTTCTTAAACTTAAAGTTTATTGAAGTTTAAATTTTGTTTTATTATTAGGAAAACCTTAAATGCGTATCTCTTTATTGACATATTCAATCTTTTATAATTTTAAAAGATATTTCCTTACTGTCGTTTACTTCTACTAAACATACAAATTTTTTAAATTATATTAGAAAGTGTTTACTTGTTAGAACATTTTACGACAAAATTAAATTTTATTTTGTTTGAATTTATGCTTATGACAGCATTAATGAGTTTATAGTTAGGGATTGAACTAAAGGAATAAGGCAACGCAACATATGGGCTCAACGCATCTG